TCAAATTGGTTGAAGACGTGGAGAACGAGTTGTCAGGTCTTCACCCGTCGACTGATATCGGAAAAGCACTTTTGGGGGGAATTCAACGCTTGGCTAAAGAGGGAGAGCAGGCGCTGAAGGATGAGCTCAAAAAAGTGCCTCCAATGTTAATACACCATGTTTAAATAATAATAAATAGTCTTTTTGTACGGAAATCATGATAAGATTTTAAAAATTGAACAAAAATTTAATTTAAATACTTTTACAATAAACATTGATTTAAAAAATTAGTATTAAAATTGTCTGTACATTAGATTTTAATTTAATTAAAGTAGTAAGGTATATCCAGGGTTATATTTATTAAATTACAATCGTGTAATAATTGTATTGAACTTGTTTAAGGACAATGTATATTTAGAGTATAATTTAATATTCATCTACATTATTCTGTATATTAAATGATGACAATTGCATGAATTTCATTAATATTGCCAATTATTTATTTGTTATTTTTGTAGCAATGTCAATATTAGTCCAATGAACATAATCGACTTTATTTTATATAATAATATATTTAGTTAAAATATAATTAATTGTTTTGTTTTTGTTTATTTTTATTTTTGGTACTTTCATCATTATTAATATTTCATAATTATTTGATTTTTATATTGTAAAACATAGTTTCAAGGCAAATAACATATTAAAACAATGCTAAGAAAACACACAATTTTACATAGTTCTAAACCAAACATATTTTTGTGACATTTATCTGGCGTGAGCTTAGATAGTGTCTGAGCATTCAATTGTTGAAAATAATTTCTTATAATCTGTTATAATGAAATATAATATTAAATTAACAGGTTTGCACTTGCTAATGTATTTTATCGATTTTTATTTATATATATCTCATTGTCTTGTATATTTTGTATATACTTTATTGCAAATTACTTGTAATGCATTTTTGTTAATAATAGTTCTGCTTTATAATAGTAGACATTTGCTTAAAACAATTTGCTTTTGTTGTCTATCAAGCAAACGGATTGAGAAAATGGCACTAAATTTGGATAAATTATTGCCAAAGGGATTGATAATAAGCTCAGCGGACAGTCATCTGTACAGAATCGGCTTAAGTCTGACCAAAATGCATTCAAAGCATAAGAGAAATTTATTTCATAAGCCTATCATCGTTTTCACCATATTAACCTTAATGTTGGTAAAAAATATCACGATACTTTTTCTACCACAAGACAATCGGTTACCATTTGTAATGTTGGGTGACTTTTCATACTTTGCCGGAATGAGCGTTCATTATAACGTTGGCTGCAGTTTATTCATAGTATCCGTTATTAATACACATTTAATTCATTTCACTAATTATATGATGGATATTAACCCAACATTTCTTACCGTGTTTGATATGATGGCGGGTAGGGTATCACCAAGCTCAATTGGTCTCACTAATGTTTTGCAAACAATAGACTTAATTAGTAGAGCTAGGACACTTATATTTTTGCTGAAAGTTAATTGCAATTTAAATGTACCTGTTATTCATTTTCTACTTTCATTATTTCCATATGTAATGAATTGTTCACTAAACGAGGTATTATTCTATGGCATTCCCAACTCGATGCTTTTCTCGGTGTTCGCCTATCATATATATAATTTACAGTTATATTCAATTGTTTACTTCTATCTGATTTGTTATTATCTGAAGATCAAGATCAAGACAATCAACGATGACATTCAAATGAAATACTATTATAAATGTAATTCAATGATACAATCATTCAATGCATTGTACGCTGAGATCAATGAATATAATGTGAAATTCTGGTCAAAATATTTTCTCAATTTTTGGATAGCATACGGAAGTACTGTTGTATTCGCTGCCTATCTATTGATTTTTAAGACAAATACATTGATTGACAAAATTATATTCAGATTTCTTATGTTTCAGTTGTGTTCAGTGTTTTTGTTCATTATATTCAGCGCCTCTTCAGTTAATTATGAGGCAAACAAATCGTATAAAACTTTATGCAATTTAATTGTTACTGATTTTAGATATAAGCATATGTTGAAACTGCCGTTAAAACTAAAAGTAAGAATTTTATACCTTAAAATAATTTAGTTTTATTAATTATAAATGTATATTTGTAATTTTAAAAATAGATTATGGTATTTATTGAAAGATTAGCCGAGAAGTCGGTGGGGTTTTCGTGTTGGAGATTATTTACTATAAACTATTTTCGATGCTATGATGTAATATAAAATTAATTAATTTTTACTAACGCATATAATAATTGATTAATTATTTTTTTATTCAGATCATCTCAATTTTGTTTATATTTTTTCTTAAAATAATTGAGCTATCACGGTAAAATATATTGTATAAATATTATAAGCGTATAACGATTTTTTAGTAATAAATTGATGTAGTAATAAAGTACTTGATGTTATTTAAATATTAATGTTTAAAAATAAAGTACAAAATATTATATTTAATGTACAAAATATTAACAAATTGGTTGATATTAAAGCAAATAATCAGTTAGTCTATCTCGCCGGAATATAATAGAAAATGTTCACGCAATTATAATAATAAGTATTTTATTTTAAAATTACGGTTTGAATAGAAAAATTTACTAGGATTTTCATGCACATCATTTCAATTTGTATATAAAGTATTTGTATATTTCAACTTTATTTTTTTAAATAATTGAGCATTTAAAATGAAGGTAAAGTAAAATATTATACATTTATATTGTATAAATATTCCATTGTGCCATTAGTTTATTTTATGAATTCAATTTGGTTAATTCAATTTAATGTTATTTTAGTGTTGATGTTTTGTTAATTAAATAATTATGAAAATTTTCATCATTATATAATAGGTAAGATTCTATTGTTTTCAGGAATAATTCAAAAATATTTGCATAATTCTGGTGACTAATTATTATTCTATTTACTAAATATTATGTTTAATTAACAAATTAAAAATAAAGTGATAGACTATTATTAATAGTATAGTAAAACAATTTATCTAATAATAAATTGATTATAATGTCAAATTAATTATAAATGCAATTAAATTACAATTAAAATACTTTATTTTAATTAGTGAACAATGAAATAATATGGTAAAGATTATTTATTTGGGTACGAGTTTAACCATACGACAGGAACCGCCCGTTTTCACTAATAACTCGAGATTATCGGCGGCTTTAAGTGTACTCAAAATCTCTTTGCCCTCATCGAGGTATAGGTCGTGGACCACGTATTCAGTGTCGGGTTTCGCCTCCGGGATCAAAGTCTTTACCTTTTGGGACATCTATTATGAAAAAATAATTAATTTAATTAATTAAAAGTTCTTAAAGAATGTGATAAATTAGTTAATTATAGTAAATAATAGATAAAAAAATATAGTAATTTATAATTAATACTAACGTAATGTTTCTCTCCGATACCGTTTGTGTCAAAATAGACAACAGCGTAAGACCACTGGCCGTTCACTTGCGGCTCAACCCGTTTGGTCCAAACCTGTTCGCTGTCTTTCTGTTTGCATCAATATTTAACAAACATTTCAGTTATTTAGATAATAATTGCAAATTATATTATTATAAATAGCTATACTCTTTGGATTCGTTTGGCCATAAATCCATTCTTGTCCTGATTTACGGCAATAATGGCCTTATTTTGCAACACTTTCTTGTCTTCGGGTGAAATGTCTCTCAAATCGTTGGACATATAGAGTGGCGCCGAAAACATGGCCCACATTGCCATATGTGTGCGGCTCTGCTCGTGAGACATACCGTAGTCGCCGACAACTACCATATCTGTGACGTATATTTTAACAATATTAATAAATTTAATGTTAATTTGGTGTGAAATTCTAACCTGGGTCAAAGAAATGTCCGGGACCTAAATGAAATAGTAAGCATAGATTAATTAACACATGGTATTAAATAGTGATATAAATACGGACCGTTATATTTGGTGAACAGGTCGTTGTTATCGCCGTAATAATTGATAATTGATTCAATGCTCCCCCAATTTTGTGCGACGTCTCCATAGTTTCTGAATACATGGCACGTGTCGGCGATGGCCTGATAATTGATCTTGATGTCGGGATGACCACCTTGGTACAGCGGCCACTCGCATATAAATACCATTGGGCGGCCTTAAATAATAATAATAATTTTTAACTACCAAAAAATACTGAATAATTTGAGTGACTGAATGCTTAGCCAATATTCATTTATGGGCGAGTTTATAGATATTTCACTGATTCACATATAATTAGATTACAGTTTGTAAATAAATAAAAATTAGTTCAAAATATACGTAATTTGTCTTGAGACATTTATAATATATTAAAGATTTAAGCTCTCACTTTCCGAATATAATAGTATGATGGTGGTTCAATTATTATAATAGTTAGTTTAATGAAAATTTGCGGTTTATATAAAAAGAGATTGTGGAGACCCGATATAAATGTAGAGAATTTTGTAGTTATTTCATTCATATAATCATTACATAAATTACAGTTTGTAGAGGTTTAAGGCTTGTATTAAAATAAACAATCGATTGTATTAATATTCCAAATAAATGTAGATAGCCTTAGTGATTATTTAAATTAATAATTTATAAATAAATAATAAATTATGATGATCATACGATTATAATTATAAATATTTTTGTTAAAATTTAAAACCAGCACTCCATTGGATACCATATAAATATAGATTGCCTTATTGGTTATTTAAATAAATAATTTTCTCATACAATTACAGTTTATACAAATAAATATAAATTATTAAATATATGATTGTGTAAAATGTCTATAAATACCGGATTCGTTGAGCGCTTTACCCATTTTGGGGTACAAGTCGTCGAAATGATGCGGATCTTCATTACAGCCGTCAAACTTGAATGAGTCGATCCCCCACTCGGCGAACGTTTTGGCGTCGATTGAGAAATAATTGGATCCATTCACTCCATTCTGGGACGGATACCTGGGCCACAATATATCAGGGTCAATCTAATATAACACCAATTGATATAGCAACTTACCCTGCACAAGTCTTGGGCCCAACATCACCATAAATGCCTAACTTGAGTCCCTTGGAGTGGACATAATCTGCCAGCGCTTTCATGCCGTTGGGAAAGCGCTGTTTGTGTGGCACGAGTCGGTGCTGAGCATCCCTTTCCATTTCGCTCCAACAGTCGTCTATATTGACGTAATTATAGCCCAACTCTTTATAACCTCCGGCGGCCATCGCATCCGCCTGTGCTTTATAAAGGTCTTCATTGATACAGCCCTTGGGATACCGTTTGCAGTCGGTTTCGCAGCCATAACGGGTCCACGAGAGCCAACCCATGGGTGGTGTCCGTACGAGCCCGTCCTCCCGGGCCAGTCCGCACTCGATGGCCAACAGAGCGAAACACACCAATAGCTTAATGTCTACCATAATTGACAAACTAATGGATCGCAAACTGAATTGATATACTTTTTTGCGTTTACTTTATATACAGGCAGTGATTGTTTTTCAAGTATACTTAGAAACAGAAAAAAAAATATTTTCAACCGATAATAAATGAATTAATGAATTTTCATTTCACTTCAGATAGTGGTGTTATCAATGTTTTTATTAATACCATTTAATATACCCTTTATAAGAATAATTGTTATTACAATAAAAGAGCATATTGGTTAATTATTAACTGTAGTTATATAATACCCTACTTACTTTATGGTATCGATATATTGAATCTTGATGTACTAAATAGATCCTTGACGTAAATTTCCAATGGGTTCCACACAATAAACATATACATGTATTTTGTTTATTTGATCCCAGCTACCATGAATAAAATTTTGATAATGTTAACAACAAGGTAAGTAGCATTTGTTGTAATTCCCTTAACCATATGTTAAAAGTGTGTCTTATGTGAATGATCTGTAATTTATATAGTTTTAAAAAATAGTTTATTTATCTACTTTACTGTGAGGTTAATCTAATGTAATCTCAAAATTTCACAAATAGTATTGTTAGGAATTTGATCCCAAGATTGGGTTTGAAATTGCGTTTATTATATCAAGAATTAAATATTAAATAATTATTAATATTAAAAAAATAGTTTATTATTAATGTTGTTAATTAGTGACTTTTACCTTAATTAATTTATAATCTATTATTAATACACATCTATTTAATTTACATATTCAGCTGCTGTTATACTCACTAATAATTTGTTGGACTTTAAACAATTGCGATCAAGGTTGCAAAACAATATAGTTAATTAATAAATATAAAATTACTGATTAGCAAAATAAAGTTATACCATATTGTTAATGTAAAAAATTAAAATTTATTTCTATCTAGCATATATTATAACAATTATTTAGGAGTGAGTTTAACCATACGACAGCCACCGCCCGTCGCCAACAGGAGCTCCAGATTAGATCCCTTCAGTTCACCGATCTTTTCGTCGCCAAACAGATCCTCCACTTTATAATCGGATAAGTCTTTTGCCTCAGGTATTAATGTCGACAACTTTTGTGACA